GTGGAAATGGTACCAGAGAAAACAAAAACAGGAGGTGCTAGATGAGACCCAGTGTACTTTCAGAAAGAAGAGGAGCCAGCTCATACCAGCCTGCTAGTACCAAGTGTGAAATTTTCAGTCTGAGCATTTCTATCTCAGAAATTGGTCAACCCTACAAATCAGGGGTTGATTTATTGTTCTGTTGATTGTCCAGACTTAAGAAAGTGCTGGAGAAAATGCTAACAATTGTGGATTTAAACTTAAACATATCCTGCAGTTTTAGAGACCTGGTTGTTAAATATTTAGCAGGATGCTATTGTGCAGATGGTACAGTTTCAAGGATGCTACAGGACGGATTATTTAGATACCTGAAAGATGAGAAGATACTGAGTTGGTGGGGGGGAAATGCCATGGACCTTATTATCCTGCATAAAAGATGATAGAAAAAATAACAGTTATTGCTGACCCATGTGCCTAATTTCCCATTTTGTGCCAAGACTACATGGCTACTTGCCAGGTATACTAACTACAGAGGGGAGGGAGTCCTTCTCAATGTTGTTGACTTGACTGCTTGACATATTCAGATACGAATTGGGCTTGATGGCTTCTGAGGCTCTTTCTAACTTTGAGATTCTGTGATGTTGGTTCTTGTTTTTTTGTTAGAGAAGGCAGCAGTAACAAATAGATATCAAACACCTACTATGTTCAAGACATTCTGCTAGGCCCTGGGAATAGGAAACCGAAACAAAACCAGCCTGTGTTCTGGAAAAGCTTATATTTTCATGAAGAATACAATATGTATGTAGATAAGTAAATGCAAGGAAATTTCATGAAGGAAAGATCATTAAGGGGATGAAGGGAAGCTTCATATAGGAGGTGACATGAAGGTTGAATTGAGCCTTGAAGAAAACAAAGAATATTGAGAGAAGGGACTATGTTCCAGGCATGTGGGAGAGCTCCATGCCAAAGGCATAGAGATAGGAGAAAGAAGTCAAGTTGAGGAGTTTGCATTTTACCCTAGAGCCAAGAAAGAACCATTGATAGTTTTTGATGAGGGGAATGACACGTAGATAATGGAAAGAACAGAGGCTAGAAGCAAGGAGACCAATTAAGAAACTCTTAGACTAATTTGCTTGCGATATGATGAATACATGAACTACGCTAGTAGCCATGGGATAGGAGAGAAGGGGTGGGATGTGGAAGATGCTGTAAAAGAGAGTTAACTTCCTTGTAATTCTAAACTTACAAAACCTGATGACTAGAAGGATTAACAGTGTACTAAACAGAAATAGATCAGTTTGAAGGAAGACTAGCTCTATGGGGAAAGATGAGTTCCATTTTGGGCATTGTAAATTGAGAAACCAAAGGAAATGTTCAGTAAGTAGTTTGTGATGTAGGAATGAGATCCAGGAGAGAAATCAGGTCTAGATGTATAGATTTGGGAGTTATCTATGTAGCTATGATAAACCCTATGAGTAATAAGATAAAGGGATTAGCATGTAGACAGATGAATGAAAAAAAAAACCATTTGTTAAGTGCCATCTCTGTGCCAAGCACTCTGTTAGGTTGGGGATACAAAGTAAAATGTTCCTGCCCTCAAGAAATTTATATTCTAGTACAGGAGAGGATACATATAAAAGTGAGTGGTATTTAGCAAGGGAGTTTTAGTATAAGGAGTCATAAAGATGGTGAGCATAGGAATAGGGCAGTTGATGATATGTCCTTTCCAAAAACAATGGCAGTGTTGATTTGATAATGATTTGAGAAGCAAGAGATAGAAAGTGAGGGTGCAGTAGGGGACAGGCAGAAAAGGTAGGGATGTAGGTTCTGATGGCTCAAACCCAGGCAAGAATTCCAAATTGAATGGGGACATGTTCTCTGGAAATGACCTTTAGGAGGGAAGATGATAGCCCCCTTCTGTTCTGAAGAGTGTTATTCTGCGGCTGGAGAGGGTGGCAGTTGCTAAAGCAGGTGAGATGGCAAGATACCCAGGATGGATGGCTGATAGGATTAGAAAGTGGGGGAAGGGAATAGGCATTTCTATAGCACCTACAATGTACCAGGAACCGTTCTAAGTGCTTTACAAACACCTCATTTGATCCTAACAACAACCCTGTTGAGGTAGGTGCTATTATTATCCTCATTTTACTATAGAAGAAACTGAGGCAAACCAAGGTTAAGTGACTTGCCTAGGGTCTCACAGCTAGTAAGTATCTGAAGCTGGACTGAACTCATCTTCCTAACTCTAGGTCCACAGCTCTATCCCCTGCATTACTTCTGCCTCAAAAGAAAGGGAAAGAGGCCAAACATAGAGCCTTGGGAGATATCCATATGGAAAGAGCAGTATATGAATGATAGTAATTGGTGGAAATTAGTGTTATGGAAACTAAGGAAGGAAGGAGTCCAGGAGGAGGAGGGTGGTCAACAGGGTCAGTGTCGGTATTTGAAAAAGCACTTGGTTTGAGTCCAACTTCCAAAACTCACTAGCTATCTGACCTTGGGAAATTTCCTTAGAACTCTCTACACCTCAGTTTTTGCTTCCATCGTGTGGGGATGACGATTCTTGTCCAACGTACGTCCCAGAGTTGTGGTCAGGAAAGCACTACCTAAGTGTGAGCTGTTACTGAATGTGACTCTGACTTATCGTTTTAGGTACCAGGAGCGGGAGTTTGTCCAGCAGCCCTGTAGATGAGAATATTCAAAATAAGAACGTGTCCTTCCTCATGCCTGTGTTCCTCCAGCTTTCTCCTCCGCTATGGAATCATTTGGCATGACCTACTTTGGTGTACAGTCATTTGGCTATGAGCCAGATTTAGGTTGATGCAAATTGCATTTATCTACCAGAAGTAGATTAGTAATTAGCAAGGGACCATAATATTTCATTTAATATGTGTGCTGCAAACTTAATTCATTATTCAACTGAAAGTGTTTGTGGTATAATGCAGTCCTTAATTAGACCTTTTATTAATTAAATAGCCAGAAATGAAGACGAAATGGGGGAAAAGCTCTTATTCTTTGTTAGAGAGAGAACTACGGTAAGGAACTCTACAACACTGTGATTACTTTGAGTTCTGCCTTGTAGGGGGAATACCCTGTTGATTGTTCTAAAAACATATTTGTGCATTGTACTTCCTTATCCTGGCATTCAAAGTCCCCTGCAATCTGGCTCCAATCTATCCCCCCAGTCTTATCTCACATGTACATAGGCCTATGAATCATACCCTATGATTCAACAAAACTGGATTACTCACCATGCTCTGAATATATCTCATGGCTCTACACTTTTCTCAGGATGTTTGAAACCTAAAGAGGTTAAGGAATGGCAGAGGCAGGATGTCAACCCAGTTCTGCTGACTCTGAATCCAGCTTTGTCATGTTGCCACTCACCTCTCTAGCATCTGGAGAGAAGAGGATCCTGGGATTTAGCTTTCTAAAGAAGGAGAGGGAATGACTGCACAGAGCCAATCTCTTAGAAAGTCGAGGGGCTGGGCTCTAGCCATTTAAAAAGAGAAGAGGGAGTGCTGGATCAGAGCCAACCTCTTGGGGAGAAGACGATACAGCTTTTGGCCCCCTTACTGGAGGAACAGTAAGGATTGAGCATAGACTTGGAGACTTTGGTTTTGCGTATCATAACTACAGGGAATAGCTCTTTACCAACTGGCCTAAAGGGGAAATACACTAAGAGTCTCTGTTTTGCATTTGTTTTTATAGCTATGAAAGGCATTTCTGGACTTGCTTGCCTCTTTTTCCAGAAGCCTTCTTTTGTATACTGGTCTCTGCTGTTCTAGTCATACATAAGAGGTTTTTCAGAGGTCTAGAGGAACTATGTTCCCCTTTCACCTTCTAATTTATCATCAAAATATTTGTCTATCTACATCTGGTATTCCCCCAGTAGAATGTAAAGCTCTGTGAGAGCAGGACTCTTTTGATTTCTTACTGTCTGCTTTGCTGTTACATCCTCCAGATCACTGGACCTCCATAGACCATACGTTGGGGAACTTAATATACTCAGCTAGCACTTCTGCCCTGGGGCTGAGCTACCCTAATTGGCAAGTGCATGCAAAGCCTACTCTATCTAGAGATCCCCAGACCAAATCATGCTCATTCTCTCCAAAATCTATCTTCTTGCATTCTTCCCTGTACCTTCTCCCTCTCATCTCTTGCGCCATAGGAATTCTTTTTTTCTTTTCTTTTCTGTTTTTTTTTTTAGACAATTGGGGTGACTTGCCCAGGGTCACACAGCTAGTAAGTGTCAAGTATTTGGTCCGAGGTCAGATTTGAACTCAGGTCCTCCAGACTTCAGGGCTGGTGCTCTATCCACTGAGCCACCTAGCTGCCCCTTCAGTGCCATAGGAATTCTAATCAAGTCATTACTACACTTGAAATTTGAAAGGGAATATCAGTCAGTTCCCTTAGGCTCTGTTCATTATCCATGTTCCCTGGCCACCCCTCCCTTACATGTTGTTTCCTCCTATTAAAATGTAAGTTTTCCTTGACTGTAGGAAATGTCCCACTTTTGTATTTGTATCCTCAGTCCTTAGTATAGAACATAGCAAATAGTTAATGATAATTGCTGTTCGTTCATTCAATTTCCAATGCATTCTCCAAAGAATAGTTCGTTAGTCAATCATTTATTAAATGTCAATTATATGCCAGGTACAATTATATGCTAAGCACAGGGCATAAAAAGAAAGGTCCTGCCCTCAAGGAGATTACCATCTAATAAGGGAGAAACCACATGTAAACAATTATGTATAAACAATAGGTATGGGAGAGTGTCCTTGAAGAAGGAAGCTAGGGAAGCCAGAAGTCAGAGGAGAGAGGGAGTTCCAGGAATGCAAGACAGACAATGAAAATTCCTGGAGTTGGGAAAGGAAATGTGAGTAGTAGCAAAAAGCCTAGGGTCACTGCATCATAGAATGTAGAGAAGAGAAAGGTATAAGCAGCCTGGAAAGGTAGAAAGAGGCAGGTTGTAAAGGGCCCTGATATTTAACAATAAAACCTAGAGTCCTGGGATTTACCTCATCAAAATCAGCAATGATTTCGTTCAGCAAGCGCAGACATTCCACTCCTTGGTTATTCATTTCTGTCTGAGAATAAAAATCAGCAAATCCAGGGATGGAGGCAAACATCACACCGACGGCATCATAGGATTGGGAATACAGTTCCTAGATGGAAAGGATAATGGAGAAAAGTGAGAAACGTGCTACAAGGAACCATTTTAACAATGCAGTTGTATTTATGTCTTCTCCTCAAAATAAATAGGGAAAGGACCCAGCAAGCTAGGACACCAAGCATCTTTAAGTGACCTCGGAGATCATCAAATCCATTTTTCCTCAAAATGAGCTCTGTGCAGTGTGGATTGGGGTGGGAGATGTGAGGTTCTATGGGGGAAAAATAGTTATAATGATGGTCAATTGTAATGTTGGCAATAGGACTACTGGAAATTGGTTGAAATGAACCCCATGGCCAAAAAGTTCTTATGGGTTTAGAATCAATAGCTGAATGAGTCCCCACATGTGTGAAACACAATCACTTGTTTGTTGGCCTGTCTTAACTTAGTATTTTAAAACAACCAGCAACCATTTATATGTAAATGCTCAAAGGATCTGTTACTTGGTCACTGTAGGAAATTCCCAGTGCCGAAATTGTCTCCACTGTTGCAGTTTAAGTAGATATGTCCTAAGGAATTACGTAAACCCCACAGACGCTAGGTGATTTTCACCCAATCACATAGCTAACAATAATCAGAAGTGGAATTTGAAGTCTAGGTTTTCCTGACTCCAAGCTCAGTACTCTATTCATTAAGTCAGGTTGCTTTGTTTATTTATACACTTATGGTTAAAAAACAAAACAAACCTTATACCCCCAATTATAAATATTTGTTATACAAAATACCTATTATGCATAACTGAATAAAACATAGAAGTAGGGATTTAGAAGGAAGCAAAGTGGTTAATGAGCAAGACTGATGATGAAACAAACATCCATGGACCTAGTCTATGTTTCAAATCCCAAATGAAGAATCATTACAAATATGACCAAAGCAAGCACCACAATGTATGTGCAATGTTATCAAGTGCTGAAAAGAAAAGAAAAGAAAAGAAAAAGGTTCCACAGTGCTGACAGAATGACAAAGGCATTTACAAAGTAAGGACTATGAATTTGAAAACAAAACTCTTGAATTTTGAAAGTAAATGTGATGAAGTGTGTGTGTGGGGGGAATTCCCTAATGGTTTATGTAAGCACAAGGTAAAATGTGAAATACCTTATGAGGTGAGTCATCATATTCAATGTTGTTCCCACTTATTGATAGAAAATAATCACATCCTTTTTTTGCTAAGTAAGCTTTTTGCAGTGCTATTAGATTTCTACATGAAGGCTTACATATTTACACATTCACTTTCATCTTGTTTAGTACTGCTAGAATTAAGCACCAAAATCATTAAAAACAATTTTTCTGTAAAGGTTTTGCTAAATTTCTATTTAAAGAACCATTAAAAGTGAGGGTTTGGGAACCATTGGAGTGCCTTCATTCCTACTACAATACTCATTCTAATATATCATGCAGTCTTTCTACCTGTTTTCATATTCCCCTGTTAAAAAGAATGAAAACCAAATGTAACCCTATCTTGATTTTTAAGAATTAATAATAGCAATAATTATAGTTTGTTATTAGTATGTTATTCATTGATCCATTAAGCATAAAGGAAAGGGCACAGGGTCAAGGTGATCAACTGAGTCACCAGCAGATCATATGTTTCAAGTTGTTTGGTTTTGTTTCGCAGCAGGGGAGATGGATTTTTGTATTGATTCCTATAGTCTCTAATGACTCTTGGCTAATCCTTCCTGTGACAAGTAGTACATGCTGGCAAGAATGTAAGCTCTTTGAGGGCACAGATTGTTTCATTATTTCATTTATATCTCCGGTGCCTAGAACGATGCCTGGTACATAGTAGCTGCTTAAATATTTTTTTGATTGAAGAGGGCTGCCTGAGGCTAGCTATATAGGTTGTAGCCATGAAACAGAACTAATCTGATTGGCCCATCCAGAGATTTAACTTGCCTTTGGCCTTATGAGCTAACCATGTCACAAGGACAGCTAGGTGGTGCAGGGAATGGAGCGTGGGGCCTGAAGTCAGGAAGAGCTGAGTTCAATCTGACCTCACACACTTGCCCAGGGCAAGTCACTTCATCTTGTTTGCCTCAGTTTCCTCATCTGTAAAATAAGCTGGAGAAGGAAGTGGCAAACCACTCCCCTATCTTTGCTAAGAAAGCCCCAAATAGGACCCCAAAGAGTTGACCATGACTGAATAACAACAACAACAACAAAACCAAACAAAACATGTCATAACAACAAATTTGGTAGGCATTGAATGAAGCGGTCAGTGATGAGGCCCCTTCCACCTTTAATATTTTCACACAGTCTTATGGGGGATATAGTTCCCTAGAACATGTCCCTCTTGCTTGTGATAAGTTCAAATCTCTAATCTATAAAGCAGGGAAAGAGTCTTGAATAAATTTCCATAGGTCATGTCTTCTAGAGGGGGAAGGTACTATTCTCTGTTCAAGAGTAGCTCCTCTTCTAAAGGGAAGGAATGGAATAAGCAAGCATCTATATTCTACCTACTGTGTGCCAAAATGTGCAAAGCACTCTTTCCAAACATTATCTCATTTGATCCTCACAGCAACCCTGAAAAGTAGGTGCTGCTATTTTCCCCATTTTTACAGTCAAAGAAACTGAGGCAGATAGTGGTTAAGTATCCTTCCCCAGGTCACAGAGCTAGTAATGTCTGAGGCTAGACTTGAACTCAGGTCTTCCTGATTCCAGGCTCAGTGCTCTATCTACTTCTCCACGAGCCCTTGGACATGCAGCAGCAGTCCCTACCATGTGCTGTGAGATCTGAGCTGAAAACTATGCTAGCCAAAGGCTACCAGCTTGGGAAGGACACTTCCCTCTTTCGCTAAGCAGAAGCCTGATCACAGACATGTGAAAGAGACTTTCTCATTGTCATAACCCTGTGTTTGCCAGCCACCCTAGCAATGGTCAGAAAATTAAAAGTGAGACTGATAAAGAAAATGTGAAGGAACTAGACTGGTAAACACTGTTAAGGAAAAGGATTATTTATTAAGATTATTGTTTCTGTGTACACAGGTTTTCTTGCCTGACCTGGCAAACCATTTCACCCATTAACCTTTAGGATTAGGATTCACACTGAACTAGCTTGTAACCTTGTTGCTTTCTCGACTTCTCACTCATACTCACCTATCCAATCTGGTGCCAAGCCTTGTCATTTCTACATTCACATACCCTTCTCTCCACTCACCTGGTGTAGGCCATCATCACCTGATAATGGACTAATGCAATGACCTGCATTTTGGTCTCACCGACTGAAGTCTCTCCCCATTCCAGTCCATCTTCAACTCATCTGCCAACGTAATTCTCCTAAATATCAAGTCTGACCATGTCATCCTATACTCCAACAGTTCCTTATGACCTCGAGGACCAAATCAAAAATTCTCTGTTAGCTTTCTAAAGTTCTTAATGACTTGGCCCCTTTCTACCTATTCAATATTCTTATGCTTTACTCTTTTATGTACTCTCTGGTTCAATGTTATTGGTGTCCTTGCTGTTACTCATATAGAACACTTTATCTTCTGGCTCAATACCTTTTCACTGGCTGTCTCTCATGACTGGAATGCTAGTTTTCCTGACCTCTTTCAAGACTAAGCTCAGATCCTACCTTTTCTGTTCCCCCTGTCCTCAACCTAATTAGTATTATTCTATCTCCTTGTTCTCTACCATGATAGCACCTTCCCTTTGAGATTATCTTCAATTTATTCTGCTCATTAGAATGTGAGCTCCTTGAGGGCAGGAAATATTTTTTGCCTTTCTTCAGAAGAACTCTTTAGTCAACAAAGTACGTCATCAACTTTTTAGTTCTTTGTACTGGGACCTATTTCCTCTGTTGAGGTGGCATGCATAGTTCTCTTACCAATGCAGTTAACCCTCTGTATCTTAATAGAAAAACTGACATTAGACAGTATTTTAAAGTTTACAAACATCATTTCCTCTTATCCTCATAACAACTCTTGGAGGTAAGTGCTATTATCCCCATTTTACAGATGAGGAAACAGCAAGGGTAAGTGACTTGTCCAGAGTCACAATGTTAGCCAGCATCTGAAGGCACCATTTAAATCAAGGTTTTCCCGAATTCAGGTCCACCACTGTATTGATTGAATCTTACTGCCTGCTCCATCAAACCATTTTCTCAGATTCCTCATTCACACTGAGGTGTAAATTACTAGTAACAGCATGAAGCATGACTTATTGAATTGAAACAGACACAAAAGCCTTAGGGTCTGATAGAAGAATCCTAGGCATTAAAAGGGTGAGGATATTTTCGGGATACTGAGATATTTCTATTTCCATTGAAAAAAAATGGTGGGGGATGACAAGATTGGCCCTGCCTGTATCCACTTGGTAACTAGTTATTATTACCTAATAAAAATTATAAGTTGAATCTCTGTGTGTGTGTGTGTGTGTGTGTGTGTGTGTGTGTGTATGATGCTGAGAGATGATTCAGACAATCCAAACAAAAAGAGGACAGAGCATTGGAACTCTGGAAACATCCTTTCCAAGCCAATTTCAGCTGTATCTCCCACACAAGGCAAATACGCAGCTCTGTGGTTTTTTTTTTTTTTTTGGTAATCTTTGTTTTAAGCTCTGAATAGCAATCATAGTCTTGGTGCAGGGAATTTCCTGGGGATTGATGGCCAGCTGGGTTTTTTCTCTGGTCTTGGGTGGTCATTATCAGCTAGGTTATCATTAAGCCCTAGGATGAAGCTCACGACTTGTTCATCATGGTTTAAGAACAGCTTAGGGGGACATCATTTTGGATATGAATTAGCTACCTCTTTTCTAACGATAACAGTCACGGTTTCTCCACAGGTTGGAATGAACTATTGTTTTGTGCAGTGAGAGAATCCATGAGCCCCTAATTGGTCCCATCATTCTAAAGTCCAAATCTTTTGCTCCCTTGTTCTTCCAATAAGAAGATGATAAGAAATCATATGTTCTTTAAAATATTAATAAATAATAATTATTAAATTATTAATAAATCATTGTTCTTCAAATCTATGGCTTTCTTGTTCTTCCAATAAGAAG